TGAAAAAGTTCTCAGACACAAATCTTGGAATGAAAGGTACCAGCTAGGAAAACACGTTGTGTTTCAACAAAGATCTTGAGTTACAGAGTTTTCATTGCTTAGGGATTTTAAATCTTGAGGAGACAGGCGGGGTGTGAAGGTCCTGGCCCTTCGTGAGGGAGGCAGGAAGCCTGGACACTCTCTCAGGATACTGGGTGAGGGGGATCCAGCTCAGGGTCACAGCTATGGAGGGTTTCTTTCACATGTAAACAAAGAATATACAGCTCCTAACCACATGCTATTTCCATCATAAAAGAATAGTGGATTGACTCTTCAGGTCACTCCTGTGGGTGGCTTGTGTGTTGCTGAAGGATGTAGCACCGATAGTTCCAATACCAACTCAACAAATTCACTGCCTGTGAGCCAGTGTCGACTAACGGTGACCCTATTGGACAGGGTAGAACGGCCTCCTGCATGTCTGAGGCTGTGGCTCTTACGGGAGGAGAAAGCCCCATCTTTCTCCTGTGGAGCAGTTGGTAGTTTCAAACTACTGACCTTTCAGCTGGCAGCCACCAGCGCTCCTTTCAAATACCGACAACAGGGTCACCTACAGTTACCAACAGAGATTGCAGACCAAAAGCAGAGAGAAAAGTTCTTCCAGCCACAAATGAAGACGGAGAAGGAACGGCATCCGCTTCAGAGGAAGGAGCACTGGAACCTTCTCCATTGCTGAAACCCTAACGAGCAGAAGCAGGGCACTGACAAGACTGTGCCAGGAGATGAACCCTCCAAACCTCATGGAGGAAGGGCTGCCCCCACAGCAGAGCTCCCACCCGCCATGGGTGGGAGACCTTTACTGGCTGGTGGGGCACAACCCAAGTGAGGAGAAACTGCGGCAAGCATATGACTAATCGGGTTTTTTAATGTACACAACATGAACGTAGGCGAGCGGTGGTACAGACGTTGAAGGACACTGGCCGTGGAGTTTGTAGCTTTGGCAAGATCGAAATCATGGCCGGTCCAGAAGCCGATTCTCAATTCCAGCTCACTGGAATTAAAGATATTTCAACTCTTACACGCTCACAGGTAGAATGACTTGTATGCTGGCCACATATGGGGGGACTGCTCTGCTGGTCCTATGCTTCAAGTGAAGACCTAAAAATACTCCAGCTGGGTGAAGGGAGACGTCGGACAGGGCAAGATATGACAAAATACCCATTTATAAACTATTAAACTATCATGAGCTCATCAGGGAGGGGGGAGCGG